GTGGGTTATAGCGCCTGCAATGTTTCCGCGATCCTTACGTCAGCCATTATTATTGTATCTTGAATTATTTCTCCGAATTATTCGATACACTTCTTTGATACGCCAGCGTTATTATCGATAACAAATTTATACCTATTAAAATCAATTTTTGCACAATCGAGATGTTCCAAACACGCGTTGTAAAAAATAGAATCTCTCAACGATATTTCGAATATAATTGGAAACGTATTCAATATCGAGAACGGTGAAAAATAACAGAAGAAGAAAAAAATCAATGAATCTGTCAGATATTAATGGAATTAAAGACGAAGGTTTTGCAATATTTTTTGCAAATTCATGAGCCAATAGTGAGTGTTTAAAACTGATATATATATATATATCAAATAAAAAAAATTATGCAATAATGATGGCGATGCGAGGATCGGTTAACGCGTGCTAAACATTTAGTCGATACACACATAAAGTGAGGGAGCGTCGCGCGAGTTTAGCGCGCGACTCTTCGAAGTTGAATTTGCGCGAATCGAGCGAACGGATCCTCGCGAATATGCACTTACACGGTATAAGTTTCGCGTGTTAATGTACGTGTATACGATAATCGTTAAATCACGAGTACAAGTTTCTCCTTTCTTTCCTCTTTTCGATCGATTACAGGGGGAGCGATGCGGGAATACGTCGAGGTGAGTTGCAGAGATTGCGTTTCTTATTTCTTTTTTTTTCCTTTTTCCTTCGCTTTCTCCTTTATCTCGTTGATATCGGAATTGTAATAAGCAACAGCTCACGACGCGGTGTTAATCGAGTAAGTATTCGCGTTATCGTCGTCACCTAACTAGACTCTTCTTCCCCTTTTCTTCCTCTCTATCTCGAATATATCGAACATCGCTGTTTGGATTAATTAGTACCTATAATTAAGATCGGCACGCGGTATACATATAGTAGAATGTAATGTAGCCTATTATAATAAACCTATCAATAAAGTCGCGGGACTCGCGGATCCCGAGAGATCCTCTCTTCTCTCATTCTTACTCTCTTCCGTTCTAAAACACGAGAAACAACCCCTCTCGCGATCGGAGAATTGTTCTAGGAGACGAGAACGGGATTTAGGGAACGGCATGCTTCTTCTTTCTCCCTCTCCATTTCTTTTCCTTCCTTTCTTGTTTTCTTTAAACTCATACTGACATTCGCTCGCGCATAAAGGAACCATCGAACGTGCTCGCCGCGGCTCGCGACTCGCGACGGTACTCGTCAAGAATAATGATAGTAGCAGAAAAATCCATTATTGGCGTATACATCGGGCACACGTTAAAAAATAAATTATACCGTCCAACGTTACAAATTCACGCTCTTCGATGCTAACGTTTTTCTCTCTCGCTTTTTTTTTCTTCTCACGCTTTCACACTCTTCTTTCTCTCTCTCTCTCTTTCTCTCTCTCATTATTTTTTTCTCTTATTCTTATCTTCGCTTGATGACTAGAAACGTCGCTTCGCGCGGATCATTTGGTAAAAAAATTATGCGAAAATGGAAAACATCTGTAGAAAAAATAAACTCGCCTCCATGAGGATAGCGCCATGGTCTCGCGTGCGCGATTACCGCTCAAACCTGTGCCAAATTTAGCACCGATAGCCGCGCGATTATTAATTTAGCATGCGCGGCGATTCACGTCGCACCGGCCGCGCGCTATCCTACAGTGGCTTTCCTTTCTTCTTCTCGGGCACGAGATAATTAATACGGTATAAGTCCTCGCGACTGGGCGGAGTAACTGGTCGATGGGTGGTCGCGTTTTCGTATATCGCTCTAAATCTATCACACTACACACGCCTCGAGACGGCGAAATCTCGAAAACTCGAAGCACGATCGGCTTGACGCCCCGGCGACGACCTAGGTCCTATTTTACCGCGTTTTTCCTCCAGCGATTCGCATCTTTCACGCGATTTCGCGCGCGCGAGAGAAGGAATGGTTATTGTCAAGTAACATCGTTTGAAAGCGATTAAAATTCGAGGGGATGTAAAGATTAAAAGTTGAACTCGCGTATCTTCTTACGCGACGCGATAATATCGTTGAGTGACAGATTCTGGGATCACTTTCGTCTATGGCTCGAGGGGCAGCGCCGAAAGGACAATATCTTCGACGCCGAGGTGCCAAACGCGCTCCGATCGTGAATAATGTGAGCCTCCTCGGCTCCGCTCGGCGATTATGGCAATCTAGTTGGCCTGCTCCGTGCTCTGCGCTTGCTTCTCGATTTTACGCGCGAGCTCCGGGCTCATGTGCGGATGCGGGAACGGTAGCACCGGTTTGCGCAGGATCGTCGGCTTGACTTTGACTTGCGGTTTGAACGACGAAACCACCTGGCTGCCGCCGGTCAGATGCATGTCGGCGAATTTGGCGACGATTTTGGGAGTAGAACGCGGTGGTAGAGGCGACCTGAGCGATATTCCTCCGCCGCCTCCTCCTCCACCTCCTCCGCTTCCTCCGCCGCTGCCACTGTCAGCAGCGATCTGATTCGAACTGGCCGACCGGATGATCTCGTCGTTCTCCGCATCGACGACGACCCCTGTGCCGTCGTGCTCTGCCGTTTCGATCCGCTTCAGTTTGTTGCTGCCAGCAGTGTCCGAGTTCGCAGTCTTTGTGTTCTTCTTCAGGGTACACTGATTCTGCTTGGCAAAACGTTCGGCGGCAGTGCTCATGTCCGGCGACTCTGGACCGCCAGTCGGCGACGTGGCCGCCTCCGCTCGCGAAGGTGGCGTTTGTTGCGGTGCCAGCAATGACGGTATCATCGTTTCCTCGTCTGAGCTGCTCAGACTGCTGGACGACGCAGATTTCTTACCAACCGGGTCTTGCGCCGACAGCGGCAGATCCATCACTAGATCGGGAGTGTGTTTCTGCCGCATCTCGCGGAACTCTTGAGACGCGCGGGAATAGGACGACGATTTGGGAGTCGACTGCGTCTGTGAAGTGGCGCGACGCTGCCAGAGTTCACGATTCGCCGAGAAGTTTGTCGTCGTCTGCTGCTCCTGCTGCGACTCGTCGTCCGGTGTCATAATGGTTGTCGTCGTCGTCGTCGTCGTCGTCGCCGTCGTTGTTACCACCGATATGCTCGTCGTCGTCGTAGAAGTCGACAGGGAGTTTGCGTGCGACAGCTGCAGCTGCTGATGTTGTGCGATCATGCTCTCGCCGACGCTCTGCGACTTCCAATGCTGCTGCTTCCGGCCAGCGCCGCGTTTTGTCACGATGCCGTCTAGCGATGAAATCGTCCCTGAAACGTTATTGCCTAAATCTTCATGCGTGACTTCTTCGACGCCACTTCCGCCTCGTTGCTGCTGCTGCTGCTGCTGCTGAGCGGAGTTTGCATTACCACCGCCATCGACGCATTCGACACTGTTCTCCAAAGTAATCTGAAGAATATTGTCGACGTTGTTCCGATGTTGCTCCGAGTGCTTCTCATTCTCCGTGGGGGTGGACACCCTGGCCGGCCTCGATGGAGTTGTAGAATCAGCCTGCAAACAGTCACGGGAACAATCGTAGCGAGGCTTGAAGAACGCGCGCGGGGGGCTAAATGGGTGTGTGTTGCCTGAACGAAGTCGACAGACGGGTCTCGTTTACTATTGCGGGGGATACGCAGATACTACGGAGTCGTCTTGATCTATCAGCGATCGTGCGCGCTGTAACGAGATACGAATTATTATCGAACCACGTCTCCTTTCTTCTACACAGGGAGTCTCGCCACCAATGGATGTATTTTTAATCATACAATCACAAATAAAAAAAATTCAAAAATTTTTTTATATTAAAATGTCGATAATTTGAGAGTAAATTAATAAAGAAGGCCTTTTTAATAAATTAGCGAAACAAATAACAGAATCCCCCATTTTTCAAACTTTATCTAGATCAAATTTTAAATTACAATTTAAATTATTGAAATATTAATATCAAAAATAAATTGATAGATAGCAAATAAACAGTTATTAAATTTTTACAAAGAAAGACAATCAATCGCAAATTTATATGAGAATTTCTAAAAAGGCCATCCAATAGTAGTAGGACACTCTGTATATGTAATTTTTCATGTAACAACGTGTATAGATAAAAATTGGGGCAAGTGAAATAATTCGTGAATAATTTACAACTGCACGATACAACGGTAATGTGAAATATCTATAGATATTGTATAAAAGGGAGTGCTAATTACGTAATTTAACAAGGTACATTAATAAAAATTGGTTTCACGAGATCTCCATCTAACAATCAACATATTAATCAAAATATTTTATACATATTTTTTTAACACGATTTGGAGTGATTCGGAATGTTTTTAAAACTACGAAATTTTGGGACATTTATAATTCGCTCGCATGCAAACGACGCACAAATATAAAGTGATGAAATACACACACAGGACAGTACCACTTAAAAGACAGGATTAAAAACTGCTCGTAAAACTGAGACAGACAAAAGCGGGCGCACGTATTGGCGTAATAAACGATGAATTAGTTTACCTATTTCTCTTTATTGTCCGAAGGTTAGTAGCTATATAAGACTATTGCACAATGGGTGAGATTACTCTCTTTACTCACCTCGGAAGCCGAAAGGATATCCGCTGGAGACAAGCAGGCCCCCCACGCGAGCGGCATTCCTTTTGATCTCATCTACAGACCGAAGAGGGAGAATTCGCTCTATGGAGAAACTCTAAGAAACTCTCACAGAATACGAACAAAAGAAAAAAAAAAAAAAAAAAAAAAAAAGAAAAAGAAAAAAGAAAGCTCGAACACACTTTACCGCCGAAATCTCAATTTCACGATTTCAACGATACAATACGATAACGACAAGAATAATTACACAATTAACAATACTGGTGGCCAGTTTTATCGAACAGTTTTTTAGTCCGCGTTTCGCTCTGCGTATATGTGTGCGGCGCGAAACGGCTTGGCTTTTCTCGCCAACTAAAGGGCCAAGAGACTAAACGTATATCTGGAAAAACAGCAACCATCCCAACCATTAAAACACTCGTTAACAAAAAAGAAAAAAAACGTAACGAAGAAAATTAAAACACACACGCGCACACAATAAGACGGTGCAACGGAGGAAACAGGCGGCACAAGACAAGAAGAACAACCACAAGGCGGGACATGCAGCACAAAATAAACATGTATATTTGTATTTTATTTACAGATGTATCGTACAAACTCGTGTAAAGTCCTATAAAATATCTGTGTGCTGTTCAGAATTTAAATTAACTTAAAATAGCGTCTCTCTCACATAAAATGCTCTTCCACGTCTCGTCGTCTTTCCCGATTTTGCATCACTGCGTTCGTCGGCTGTGTCCGCGAAACTTTAGAATATTTTAATATCTCAAATTCACGGCAGCGAATGATCCACGACGAGCAACAGTTCGTCGAATTATTTCAAGTTTATCCAGTCATTAAATTTCTTTTTTTTTTCTCGGAATATCATGGAGACTAAAAAGTACTTTTTTGCACTTGATCGCGAGAGAATTGCGCGGATTATACGACGAAGCGATGCGTGGATCTGATATGCAGGTGCAGTGCGCAGGCAAGAGAGATTTCGTGTTACCAATCTACATTGTGCATTCCAGACGCGATTTCGCTCGCGAGGATATAATAAAGAAACGAAAAAGATATTTGCTTGAACAGTCATGCACTTAAGTGTGCGTTGTAAAGAATACGGAGATGATAAAAACCTGCGTCGCGCAGTGCGTCGGTATGCAACAGTGCGACAATATACGCCAAAAAGCGAAAACAAACACGAAGAGAAAAGAATCGGGCACAGATTAATGATCAACTACTAAACGGTGGTTTCCAATACCTCTCGACTGATGATCGGCTGCGCCGACGAGATGCAGGGTACATTCGTCACCACAGACGCAATAATACCGCTGGCGTTACTATTGTCCGTTATTATGTTCGTCGTAGCAGATGACGACATGTCGGAAGCCGCACCAGACGACCAGGTGCTCGGATTCGCCGATGGACCCATTAGCGGCGAGTTATTGCTCGACAGTACACTATCTGCCGAGCTGGACGCTCTTCTACGCATGGATTCCTCACTGGATGATTTTAAAAGTTCCTTCTCACGCTCCTCATCCCTGAGAAAAGTGTAGAAAAAAAAGTCAACGAAACAATTAGAAATCGATTAAATAATAGGATTTAAATTATAATTTGATTAATTTAATTTAATTTACAATAATAATTTAATTTAAACGACGATCTCGATTAATTTTCTGTTAAAAGTAAAAAAAATATATAAAATAATACTAACTTTATCTTGAGCATAATATATTTATCAGGAATCAGTCCCTCTCTGCCAGCTAGAGCGCCTCGCCACCAATCATTGCTAACTTGTGTATACAGCGTCAAGGTGTCACCCTTTTTGAAACTCAATTCTCGTTCGGATCTCGCATTAAAATCAAATTGCGCCGTACCTTCGAGATTCTCTGATTCTAATAGATAAAGAATAGTTAGATTACATAAAACATATTTCATGGAAATATCTTTTAAATTGAGAATTTTTAAAAAATGCATTACCATCTTCAGACGGGTAAACTTCCGAATCCATATCTTCCTGAACTTGATCCGTCGGTGAATCTCCCACATCCCTGAATTATAAGTCATCAGTAATCAACGATAAAAAAGATGTTCCTTAAATTCTTTTATAATTAAATTCAACTATCTATATTGTTTTAATATATTCTATTGTATATTGTAATATTTAATAATAAATATTTATTTCTACTTACACATCATCAGGTTCTCTGCTTATGTATTTCTCGTATTGAGTACCTCCGATGTCTTCTGGAAAGATTTCTTCGCAAAACGTAATAATATTCTTGATAAGCTCGTTGACCTGATTCTGGTACTGAACTTGATCCTTATCCTCAGGAACAGGCACCAAGGTCGGACCGAAGCAAATAGCCAAGTTATACGGATCCATCATATTCTCATCCGAGAATTCCGATAGACTGTTTAAGCACAGATTGAATTTTAGATTCCGTACAATTTTATGTACGAAGTCTTCATTGAGCAGTAATACTTACTGATTGAGAAAAGCAAAAAGATAACGCATGACGATCACGACTGGCCGTGGTAGACTCGCAATCATCTCCTTCATCTTGTTAACGAAATCTTGCTTCGATTCAAGCTGTGCCAGCTCCATCAGATGTTCGAAATAGATGATTGGAAAGAGAGGTTCGCGCAATTCCCTCAGATAAAGTTTTAGCACCCCAGCGACACTGTTGATGTCCGAGGCGTCTGTGACATCCGCAAGTGGATCCTCGCCACGCTCGAACCATTCGCGGAAATTGTTAATTTCTACCTGTGAGCCCGACACACGAAAGATACCTTGATGATGCAATCCATATAAATTGATTACGCGAATGCAACTCTTCATGATCAACGGTATTTCCTGATTGGTGCTCTCCAGATATTCTTCGAGCGAACCGCCAAACAGTTTTGGTTGGCCGTTCATCTGCAGGCGTCCGATCCGTTTGCGACGTGCCTGTTTTTGCTTCGTGGCGGAAATAGACGGATTCGGGCTAGCATTTGAACCATCCAGTAGGCTCTGCCGGATATACTCTTGTTTCGCATCTAACCTGGCTATTCTCGATGTGCCGAGAAGATATTCCCTGAATTTCTATAAACATCAACATGAAAAATAGGATAAATCTTGTTAATCATGTTTCTATAGGTTTTTTTCACATCAGGAAAATCTTATAATTGAAAGAATTTACTTGCATATTTATTATGTTCATATAATACATTTATTATGTTTATATTATAATTTTCATATTGTAATTCTATTTTTACATTAATAATATTTTTATATAATAAAACCTTAAAATCCAATTCTAAATTTCTAATTGCAATTTAGACAAGCAAAAAAATAGATGCAATTGTACGCATTCTATTTATGAATTTTTACTGTTTTGAAGATCTTAATGTAAGACTTGTTTTCTCGAAGAACTAAAAAGAACGGATATCAAATGTAGTGATGTGCTTTCCTCGGTCGTTTTCTATTTGTCCCTTATTCGCCCATCTTCTCTATCCTTCAAATGTTAATACGACGATCAATATTCTACCGCGCGGTCGTTTGTCCTTCGTTCACTTGCGAAAGAGAAAGAGAAAGAGAAGACAACTCACCGTGAGGTAGAATTCTTCAGTCTCCTGTCTATCGGCTCGCAGCTTGATCTGCAGCGTCTCCGGCGGCCTGGATGTAGACACGGCGTTCTCTCCAAAGTATCTCGAGCAATCATAATCCTTGGCAGTTAGCATCTCGAGTAGGCTCGCCTCCGCTGTCTCCAAAGTCTTCCATACCTCCTCCGATTCAGTTCGCAGCGACGTTACCCTCTGTTGCAGCTGCTGTAGTCGTTGTTCCATTTCCGAATGTAGCATCTTTTGCAATTCAGGCTCAGGCGTCTGTTGGGAAAAAATAGACCGGTGACATTTTTATAGCGGTATTATTAACTTTATCATTTTACTCCGTTAAAATAATATTGTAAATAAAACGATAATCATAATTTATAATTATTATTTAATTAAGAAACGACGAAAGAGATTTAAAAAGTTAATGTTTAGATTGAATTCTAATTCGGCTCTTACCTCATCTCCACGCTGTCCTTGGAATTCAAACTTCTTGGGAATCATGAAGGCTGCGTGATGAGACTCCAGGAATCTTTGCTTATCCGCCCGGGAGTCAAGCGCACCGACGCACGCGGCTAATTGTTCGGCGCCAGATTGTAGGGAACGTTGTCTGCCCTCCTCCGCGCTGCAGTGCATCAGCAGTGCCCTTGCTATGCAATTGTGGAATCCAAAGTCCATGCACTGCGAGGGTGGGAAGGAAGCATACATTCATTTTCTATACATCTGTCTTTTGTTCAATGAAATAAATTAGATTCCATTAGTAATCTAATTTAGAAAGAAAATTATGTTTAACTGTAAACTTCCTTCAAATTTCTTCGACCAACTTAATCGTTTAATGTTTTATTATTTTAAGAATCTTAAATATCGTATTACTTTTCGGTTTCTATTATCCTATAAATATCCTATAGATAATTAAATTGATAGAATGTAAATTCTATTCAAGCCAAACAATTATCATATATCATAACGTTGCGATGCAACGAATGAGTGCAACGATTACATAGGTCGGTGAAAGCGCGGTTACGGTCGCGGGGTCAATGGAGTGCGAGTCCGCGTATAGATGAGTAACTTACGTCGATAAGATCGGATAGGTCATCGACGAAGTACTTGTGTATCGTTGTGTTAGACGCCTCCAGGCACAGGATGTACTCGTTTCTCGCCTTGAGCGCCTTCAATTTCGCCTCCTGGTACTTGCTCTTCCTCTGAAATGGGGATATTGCAGATCAGAGATCACGATGCGTTTTACTTCGAAAACTGAGAGATTAAAGCTTAATTAATCTCATTAATTAACAACCAGTGTATTGATTGCCTCGCCGATTCTCGGGACGACTACCGATTCCGATTCCGTTTCCTTATCTCGCTTTTCTCTCTGAGAATTGTTTATTTTATTACTTTTTTCGTACTCGAGCAATTGAGCTCATTATTCCGTTGCATAAATTATTTGTGTGACTTTTTGGATTCTTACGTAGATTTCATAAATAAAATGTGCGTTCTTTTAAAAATGTGAGTAATGACATCGAATTCAATAACTCTAACAGCAAAGAAGATATTATCGGCCTTTTTCTTTTATTTTCTTTTTTTTCCTAACCGCTCGACTCTTATACTCCTCTTTCGCATCTTTCGATAATGTCCCTTTTGCTTCCAGACCATTTTAACCATCTGTCTTATCGCGCTTATAACTGCGCTACCCAAAGGGGACCGCTATTTATTTTTCCATCGAGATGCCCAGCAAGAAAACCCGCTAGCAGATCGACCCTAAAGCCTCGGTCGACGTCTGCTCGGATTGGGAAGTGATGAAAAAAAAAAAAAAGACTCAGAGAGAAAGAGAGAGAGAGAGAGAGAGAGAGAGAGAGAGATGCGTACAGATTTCCTAGCATTCTTTCTCGATTCACTCCGTAGAGTGGAGTGAATCTTTCTAGTTGTAAGCTGGAGAAGCGCTTTGAATCCCCAGAGATCTTTGACTCATACAAACAAAACGGATAGAGCATATGGCCCTGGTAGAAATGTCGACGCAAATGCATCTGTCATAGAGTAGAAATATGAAGGGAATATGAATGCTTCTCTAACATCTTTCAAATATTCTCTTAAGTAAAAAGCTTTTTAAATTTTAATTTTTTTCGATCATCACAAGAAGTTTGAAAGCTTTTGTGAATTTTGGATGTAAGAAATCTTAAGAAGTTAAGAAATCTTCGAACAAAAGAGTGAGAGATTTTCAAAGCTTAAAACAATCTCACAATGCGGTAATAACTTCGCAAATTAATTAGACGATTGAATAATGCGTGGAAAGTTTTTGAAGGTTTTCCCCCCTCTTTCGTCTTGATTTAATCCTACGGTCGTTATTCGCACGCCATTTCTGTCGCGCGAATCGTGCTCCAGAATGCACGAACAAGTTTTTGAAAGACTGGAGAGACGAGATTGCATTCCGGATTAGAGAACTCGAAGCAGTTATCCGCTCGATTCCGTGAATCGTATGGGGAACGAGATAGTCGACGATGGACAAAAAGCGGAACAATTGCTGGACTGATGACGCAGATGCCTAATTCGAACATCCTGCGACTGGCCTGAATATCGTTCAGTCAATGCTCTGTTTCTCTCGCATTTCCACCTGCCGTCTAGCATTTTCGTCGATACTTTTCGTCTGTACTTTATCGACGATATTTCGTGCGGCCGTCATTTTCGTTCCAATAATGCGCGTAGCGTGTGGTGGAGGATATAAAACATCGACCGATCGGCGCCTCGGATCAAATCTTTATTAGCGTGGAAAACGTAGTAGCATAATAATTCTCGTGCAATAACCGTAAATCAAACGACCGTAAATCACGCAACAATGCGATAACAGAGTTGTTAAAAAAGAAGATACTTTCTGACTATTTCAGTATTGTGACATTTAAAATTATTCTTTGCTAAACAAAAACATCGAATATAATATTCAGTGTGCTTTTTAAAGTTTACACGCAATACGATTGTGGGCTCTTTAAAATCCAATTTTCTCAATTTTTCTAAAAGAAAATTGCGCGGCAAGAACTCGTTAACTTTTATTATATATGATTACTTTAAAGCTCGATTAGTTTCATTTCGTAACGTAACGTAACGTTTGTAACTGTAAAGAACGTTCCGCGAGGACGAGTCCGGCAGTTGATTTTAATGATGTTCTTATTGTTAAATTGTGACGAGAGGAAATTAGTGGCGCGGCCATAGAATCGTAATGAACGTGTTTCCGTTAGGCTCGCGAAACGAAATTATTAAGACGGTAGCAGACGGTACTCCATTCTCGTTCCAACTGTACTTTCAATTTCCTTTCAATCGCATCGACGAAGGCCAGACACGCAAACTTCCAGCCGTGCTGCACCACGCGAAATATCTCACGAATCGCTTTAAGAGACGCGACGAACAAAGAACGTCCAATCTCTCAATCCACAAGTTTCAAGTACCATAGTTACTGACTTCAAAAATTAATCTCTAATTATTAACTTTAAAATCAATAATCTCATCAATTACTTTTCGTAATGTTTACAAGACTGTCTGACATGTAAAATTTAATTTCTTAAAAACCAAATCCAACTCCTTCACATTTTTATCATTTTTATCATTTTTGAAAAATTTTAGACTTTCTCTTTGAGATATTAAATTATCAAAATTAAATAAAATTAGAAATGTCGAATATCTACGATCTGCTTAAAAATCTTATTTCTGACTTCTCGGAAGAATCGCATGATTTCCTGACATATTTACGAATCATCATGCAATGGCAAATGTATCGAAGCACCTTCCGCTAGTCGTCATGCCGCGAACAGCTGGTGAACGCGCAAAAGCCAAAAAGAAGCACGTCAAATCCACGACAACATGTTCATCATAGAAAGAATTTGCCGCTGATAAATCGCGCGTCTTTGGCGTAAAATAACCGTCGATCTTTTGTCAGAGGCGACATGCCATCGCACCAGGTGCCAACAGAACGGCGAGGAAAGAGAGGGAAAGTCATACATGCGGATAACGTCGACGAATAATCTTTCGACCGACTGCATCTCATAACACGTCGTCGTCGTTATTACATCGGTGCCAAAATCCGAAGGACGTGCGCGAGATCGCAATATGCTAGATTTACTCACGGCCAGGGTCGCTTCCGAAAGAAACTGGACAAATTGCGAATGACGCACGTTAATCTCTTCGTTATTACGAATGTGTGAAAAATATAATAAATTACATAACGCGTAATAAATTACAATAAATACAATAAATACACACGCGTAATAAATTACAAATTCTGGCAAATAAATATTCTTGTTACAATATATAACAAATATTTCGTATAAATCTTCATGAACTTTTTATTCCAGATTACTGGAATATTTGTTAAATTTTATCAAAAATTGATAAACCCTTGATGAACACTAGATTTATATATATTTTTCCCATAATAAAATTTTAATATAAAGATTTACTATGAACATATATGTTACATTGAATATTAAAGATCCGTCTTTTCTACTATAGACAAAATAAAATAAGTTAAAAAATCTAATACGTGCTATATACAATTTTCCTTCGGTACGTTAAATCCCATTTGTCAACATAATTCGAACACAGATGGTTGAAGCACAATTAGGGAAAAGAGTTTAAACTTCCTCGTGCGAGCTCTCGCGAAAATCAAATGCTTCTTCGAGCTTCTTCAGTCATCGGGCACGAGCACTCGTCTCATGTAGAAAATCACTCGAGATCGATCTTCTATGTATTCTATTCTACAAACCTTGTTGACTTCTTTCTCGATGAGTTTGTACTTCTTGCTGCGTGCAAGTTTCTCACGGCTGTCCGCGTTCGCCACCTCGAGCTTGTTACGTTGCTGCTCGGCGACGCGGAGCTTCGTCTCCGCCTGCCTGGATTCAGCTTGGTAAGCATGGTAGGTCTTCATCGTCGTGTGTAATTCGTGCAAAACTCGGAGTATCTCTTCGTGCGTCTCGTAGCCTATCTCGCGACACTACAGTGAGAGAAAGAATATCATTATGTATGTTGTGTAGTACGCAATTTTTTACATAAATTTAATTTTATTAACGTGTACAGGGACTAACCCTTTTTTTTTCCTTCTGAAAAGATTTCTAACACAAAAATACAAATTAATTTACGTAATTAAATTATATAATGACGCAATAGAAGATTAGACGGACTATAATTATAGAAATAAACACAAGGATGTGTGTAATAGTAAAGGAGTATGGAGAACGAATTAAGAATTTCGTCACGATGAGATTAGGCATCGTGTTCGTGGTACTCGATATATATCGACATCGTCGGCGTGCCGTGGCGAAACATCGCGGCGGCGCCGGTGACAGCGGAATGGAGACATTCGAGGCAATTAATTCAACGAGACAATGGAACCGTCGAACTTCTCACGACACGGCGCGCGACGATGCAATCGCACAATCGCGCACTAACTGCTAACGGTATCGTGTATTGCGGGGCAAACAACACTCACACGCTTGTAAATTCGCTGCACGTCCTCCATCACCTGATTGAGACGGCCCACGAGGTGGGTGCTGTAGACCTCAGAGAGGGCGGCATGGTCCCTGCTAAGGGATTTGGTCTCGTTTACGAGCTGCTGCCAGCAGGCGTAGCTGGAGAACAAGGGCCATTGTTCCCGCCTGTGGAAAATGATCGATAAAGACGATACTGAATCAGGCACCGGATGTACGTTCCGTGCGCGTGTATATCGATGTTACAATTACACGGCTATTAAATCGGCCACTAACGAGCCGATCAAGCGTTACACTCTCGTCATCTTGCGACCCCGAACGCATCGTTCCGTTTTTACGTTTCCATAATCGTGCCATGTAATAGCGATCGTTCCACGTGCTCGTTCATATGTATACGTTCAACTATACGCAATATCCTTTAGATTTAATGATAAAATGATATAAATGAATATTTTTGCGTGCTATACAAATTACCTAAAATTATTTTGATACTGTAATCAGGCGTGATTCTATTTTAATGATAATATGTATCGCAAGCAAAATATCTAAGTTTTTTTTATTATAAACATTCATATAAATGTTTAAATGTTATTTTTAAAAAAATCACAAGTGTCACCATGTAAGAGAAAAAAGAATCATCCGACGATAAAACCTACTTTACGGTAATTATATTTCTTGCGAAGCAAAATGAATGTAACGGTGTAACCCCCTCCTCCCCCCCCCCCCCGGACTGCGCCCTCGCAAAGAAGTGAAACTATCGATTCGCGATATCTCCCGGAGCGAAATGAGGGAAAGAGAAGAGCGCGGTCGTGGTTACGGGATTACGTTTTACCCGTGTGTAACGTGTGTACCGCGAGAGGAGAGGCATCCCTTTTGTAGCTGCTGAATACGGCGCACAAAAGGGGCACCGCGCGTTCAGGGTTGAATGACGAGAAGGAACTGGGGCATGTCGCAAATCGCGGGAACGGTGCCGGCTGATGCTGTGCACGCGCGTGTAGGACGCCGGGAAAAATACGAAGCCGACGTCCACTTTTCCGTCGTTCGGTCCGTCCGTTGCAAAAGTGGAGCGCGAAGAATGTCAATCGCGTCAATACTACAATGCGGAATAAATATGAGAAAGTGCAAAGTTGTTACGGGACGTACGCGCGGCGGAATTCATATGTCTACCAACAATAATGCCGATCTTATATTCATTAATTAACATTAACGATATCGACGTCAACAATGAAATAGCTTCAAACTGTTCGTAATATTATTATACAAGGCGCATTTTATACACCACATGAGAGAGTGTTTTCTGAAGGGGAAATTCAAAGGAGAACTGACAAGATCTAATTTTCTCGATAAAAGAAAATATTTGCAGCACATAAAATGACTTATATATATTATGATGAGGATGTGTGCCTAAACTTATTTTGTTATTATAATTTGAGTATTGGAAGCAGATTGTTATAAATATTATTTCAATGTTACAAGCAAAAGTGATTTTAATCCAAAATGATTTTAATGATTTGTAGATGGACTATTAGAAATTCTCTGTTTATTTCAATCGTGCCTTTTTAAATATTGACTTCTACATCCACCAGACATTAATGATCTAATATTGACTCCTAAAAGAAGAAATACGATTTCTCTTTAGAAGTATGCTAAAATATTTATGATCGTTACTGATTTTAGTATAGAAACAGTTCTGCGGTAAATATTTAAGGTATCTGGATCAATCTTCGATCCGCCGATTAATTATGCATCTCGTGATCGAAATGTAATCATGCGTGATCTATATCTCAAATATAATCGCACATTTAATCAAAATTTACATAATGTAATCGCGAAACAATTCACATTGCGCAACGTGATGTAATGTAATAGCGCAAAATGTAACACGAATGCGTCATCCTTTCAATCGTGTCGTGTAACATGTGGTACACGCATGGTACATGAATTACAGTGAATCAATTAACACGCATATCAACGCTAATCATTTAATATGACAATTCACGGGAGAATTATCTTCTTTTGTTTTCGCCACATCGCTTTTTATAATCGATTTTATATGTCGCTATAAAATTATTCGGCTAACAAATTTCTGTGTGTCATGATTTAATTTTATTCATAAAAACACACTCCCAATAGAATAAATAAATGCAAACATATGAGATTATTATTATTATTCATTTAACTTCTCGTATTAAACAGCTCATTTTCTTACAATTTAAACTTCAATTAGTTCCATAATAATAAAATAATAATTAGATTAGACTTTAATATGATGCAAATGCAAAATTATTCAATTGTGATTGGCGCCTCTAAGATAATAAAATTGTATATTTTACCTACATTTTCTTATAATTCTTCTTTTTAATCAGCACCTAATTGTTCTCTCCGTAAAGTACGTAAAAAGATATAGTCAGAAATGAAATTAATAATGAGTGTGATATTACTTATCGTACTTTTGTTTCTGTTCCTTGTGCCTCAATTGTATGCTTCTTGCCATCTTGTCGAGGGATTTGCTGTAATCCAGCTCCAGTTCCGCTCTTTTCCGGAAGAAGTCCTGGAGCTCGGCCACGAGGGCGACTTGCGCCTCCATTCTTACGTCGAGGCATCTTAGCTGCTCGTTCAGCTGTAGCCGTATATCTGCAAGTAGAAAAAAGGCGAAACCTCGTCAGAACTCGTTCTAATCATGATCATCTGTTTTGAGTATCTCGAAATACACGCGAAGACTTATAAAGTGTTTCTCCGGAAATTATCTTCGAAGTTGCGAGGTCTCCTGGTAAAATTTTATTTTCTCAATATTAAAACCGATATCGATCTATATATTGCCACCTTAAAAAATCCGATTTTCCGGGATTTACGAAGAATTTCTTTAGAATCCTTTCCGAATACGTAGAGTTCTTTTCATAGCAATTCGAAAAATCAATACCTAATATAAATTAATGTCCGACTAACTTATGAATATCGACTTAAAAATTAATTATACAATTAAATGTGAATTTAGAACAAATTGTATCTTGTATTATACAGTTTTCAGCGCCATTCCAGTGAACCTTCTACATCGAAGTTGTTTTATTTGGCAACGATAACAATGGCAAAGAGGCGGATGTTGCGCGGAATAATAATGTCTTGAGGATGATGGGTGTCGCGAAGGACTTTGACACGATCAGTGTCAGAGACTTCCGATGCTCTCTCTCTTTCTCTTTCTTCGTAGTAATCCGTATTCCATTAATGTTATCCGCAAGACAATGACGAGGAGGAGGAACGACGGCTCTGCAAGACGGCTAAGCTAAAAATAAGCGGTATACGCGACGCGAAACGACCTATCGTTTCGCAGACTTTGCCGAGACGAAGAGAGAAGATGATCGCGCTCGTGCGCGAGTACCGCGTGATTTATTGTCGTGGCCGTATCTCGTTTCCGTTCCGAAACTTCCTTCGACTCCGATAATAAACGACGCCGAGTGACCGCAGTCGAATACGTTGTTCGCGTAATCCATCGTCAATGTAACAAAAGTAAAAACAACGTTCAACATTTCTCTCTCACGCTTCATCCTTCGTTCAACGCATTCAGAATTATCTTTCCGTCACGATATCTCAAAAAAAAAAAAAGAAAGATCTTAGAAAACAATATCTTCAAAAGTATTTTTTAGATTTTCTTCGAAGATATTTTACGGATAAACGTCTGAGATTTTCAAGTTTTCTAAATCTTTAAGTGACATATCGATTGTTCGGCTCGGTTTGAAAGAAATTAGATTAATTTCAATCTTCTCAAATTTTCGAGAAATTCGACTCAAATTATTATGGCACCGCAAATCACACAATCTAATTTATAGTAATTTATAGTATCACACTTGACAGAACTCCTAAAGCGGAAATATCATTTCGTCGTGTATCAGCCTTCACGTAAGCGTCAATCAATCAACGTAATTGGACGATCGTCAGAAGGGAACGGGAGCCAGCTACTAGACGTTTTAAGACGGTGCTTTCTTTCATCGAATCGAGCGACGATTCGAACGAATCGTTAAAAGAAAAAGAGGAAAAAAGGTCGGGCGATAAACGGGCGTGAGCGACGCATTTTCGAATCGAAATGGGCGTTCTGTTCGTGACAGATCGAGGACATATAATGATTTCAACGTCGACATTTTCAGGAATATCGTCGCTTCACTCGCGCTCTCGTTTTCGGGAATATCGTCGGTTACTTCGAAAAAAAAAAGAAAAAAAATAGAGAGGCCTGGAAGAAACGTCGTTCTCGACCATATGCCAGTTCGTTCCATGTGTTACCAATTATCAAGAGGTCTAAACGAATCGGTTCATCGGCGGCTTAGGCCTCGAAACTAACGAATGGAACTTTTATGAGCGGCCACGGCGACTGATGATAATGTTAATTCTGGGAAATACCAAAGCGCGGATGAAAAGACTTGCCGCAGTTTTTTGCTATCGCAGCCCACGTCTTAATCATCGCACACATGGCTAACTAGATTTATATAAGAAATAATAAAATTTTATTCGGATTTTAACGAGAAAAAAATGTGACATTAAATATAATTCAAAATTTTATTAAAAGATTAATTTTTCTTTCTGTTTCTATCATAAATATTAATCTAATCTTAATACAGTGAGAAATTCTTAAATAAAATTGTTTACAACTAAAATTATTTCATCAATATTATTAATATATATTTCAAAAGTTAACGGCTAATATTGTAAGTTTAAAGATAAAATAATAAAAATGCTAATTTAATATTTATCTTTCTTCCTTTCTCGTTTATTAATAATGGAAGAGGTTCTCCGCTTCTTTTTCGTTTAATATCCCAAGAGAATAAAATTCAAGTGGAGTTTCCCTTCCAAGGGCGAGTTTCGATGCACTCCCAGAAGAAGATCTTATTGATTTTCTTACTTCCGCGCGTGTGATTCATCCTTCCCGAAAGGACGCGAAGCGATCTTTGACCCCGAAACACGAACGAGATGCAGACATGCAACCGGCACACGAATGAAGGTAAATAAACGTGTTCTCAAATGCACACACAACTAGGGCTTCTATATACAGGGTACCTTAAAACCATAAGATGCTCTTTTTATTTTTTGATGGATTCAAAGTTTCCTTTAAAAAAAAAAAAGTATTAAGGACTAAATAGTTTATAAAATAACTGATGATTAAAAATAAAAAGTTCCTATAGTGAACTGAAAAGGAAATGAAAATCATATCTTTAATTAGCTTCGAATAAACTTCAACAGAATTTTAATCTACAATTTTAAATTACGAGGACAGTGAGTATATAAAAAAAGAGAAACTACGATAAAATAAAAAGCTCATATAAATTGGAAATTTAAAAATCAAAGAAACTGCAGTCGAAAAAAAACATTCGGTGATTCTCAGACACCCTATATACAACACCCCCGCTGTGTTAGTCATCTAACGAGCGAGAGGTCGATGTATGCTACACATCATCGTGGTCGGATGCACCAACTGACAAGCCACTAACCAACGAGGGGGGTAACAACGGATCGCCCGAATGACGATGTCGAGCACAAGAGGAAGAGGAAAGGCACTGCGATGCTCTCGTCGAACACTTTGAAGACGAAGAATTGCGGCCTACTATGATTAGCCTACTATGATTAACTAGACCGCGATAGGCACTATTAGCGAAATAGGCTGTACGATGCAGCAGGCCGTTCGTTCCCTTTCAATCCCATCCCGATTTCTTTGAATGATCGATCATAGCTACATTATCATAATTGCGATTATAATACGCAGAACGTTTGATAACACAAAATTTTAATCACACAAATCTATAATAGATAATTATTTTATCTAAATTTTTAAATATATATTTCTATATAACAAATAATGCAAATTTGTAAACTAAGCGTGTGAAAAATAAACTTTTACAAGAAAATAAATTTATAAAAATAAATTTCTATGTAGAGTCATCGGAGCTATTTGTTATTTAGTAATCTCATAAATTTCCAAATCAAAAATGGACGGATACGCTTTTTATCGGCCTTAATAAACTGACGTGACGAAGTTGGTGATGTGGGACGAAAACTTTGGGAATATCGTCGAGAGGAGAATCGTACACAAAAACACGTCTCGAGAAGAAAGAAAGAGAGAGAGAGAGAGAGAGAGAGAGAGAAGAAAGAAGGAAAGAGAGACGTTCAAGAAAGCAGCTGCGCCTAAAAACCACCCACGACAAAGCGCGAACCGGTTGCAGCGCAGCATCGCACCCCCGCCGCGACCAGAAATACGCACGTGTACAACGATTACCGAAAGGGAGAAAAAGAAAGAACGAGAGAGACGGAAAGCGAGGTCGAGTCTTTTGAGACGATCCCAAAATACGTACAACCACCATTTTATTCTCCGCGAAGAAGCCGCGATCATGCGAAGAAACAAGTTTCCTTGCCTTACACAGTCGGTGTTTGATCAAACAAACTATTTGAAAAATGGACAATATATTTAAGAGATAAAAAACTTCTGTTACATAATAGATATCAATTAGCTAAGAAATATATAGCTAAAGATATAGAAAATTTTTTAATAAAATAAGGTCATACAATAAAATATTTAATAAGTTGATCTTGACTAGTATAACAACTACTTTTAGTAGTAGTATAATAACTACTTTTTTATTAATAACTTATGATATTTATCTTTCCTCGATATATAATAATAACATTCACGATTAAATATTGGCAACTTTTGTTTTTATACTTTACGTATATCACTAAGTATCTACTTTCCGTTCTATTTTATACCGATTTAAATTTTCATTTATAGCTTATTAGAAAAAAATGCCAATCGAGTGACAACCTCCAAGAGGTTTGAATTCAGTGTTGTTTACCTGGAAGACGCGCGCGTTCTTGCATCTCGTCAAAATGACGATACGCCGAGTCGAGGCACCTCATGATCAGGCACGACCATAATTTTTTCGCGATCTCATGCATGCACATACCATGCATGTGATAAGTGACGGGGCGAACGGCATCGTCAAGGTTGAGACCAGGTGTGCGCACATAACAGCGTCTCTCGCGATGGCGCGGCAAAGTGGCGCGTCGCGACGGTAATTTCGCGAGCCGCGAGTTGCCATTTAATAATTGCAGCATCGCCGCGCGCGAGGACCCGTTATGGAGCGGTGTGCATACGGTACACACGTGCGAAGAAACATAACTGTACGATGTATATCGGGCAGCTGGACGCGACCCTGCCTACAATGTTGCGGCTATCGAGCGGATCTCTTTGCATCGTGCATCACGAAGGCAAGCGACTCGCGCCGTTGCTTATCGTCAAGTATGTCGTTACGAAACGCCCTCTCGTCTTTCGTTTCCTGTATCGAGTTGTGATATCAATACGTGCAATCGATATGTATCGCACGATAAAATTGTTCGTTTCTCTTCAATTCAATTCAATGCGAACTACTTGGATTGGATACTTTGAAAAATTATTTATTTAATTTTATGTCCTCCTTCAATTTTTCGAAAAAAATATCTGTTTACTTGATAGCTAACACATTCGATGTTATGCACGCACACAAGATAGATCGAAATGTAAAATGTAGCCAATATGCAAAGTTTTCCTTCTATCTCTGAAGACACTCTCAAAATATTCGACATGATGAAGCATCCCTGACTGCTTTCATCTACTTGAA